GCGAGCCAATATCCGAATTATGAGCGAACTTCAGATATGCAACCACTAGTTGGCAGCGTATCTTAAGTCAAATCCAACTCTGTACCCAGATGAATGTCAAATACTTCGTCCCATCTCACATGCTCTTCCAAGACATTACTGGAAGGATAATACTCCCACACTAATCCCAGATTGAAATGAGGCACCTCATCCCTTGTTTGGTTCTCATATAAATCTGGGGAAGAGGTAACCTCCATTTCAACATTCAAGAGTTTTTCCAGAAACATTATGGAAGGCCTCTGATATTTACCTGCCTCACGGAGGTTCCCTCAGTGGCTGGAGTAGTGATGGTGGTGGGTGGAGTAGTGATGGTGGTGGGTGTAGTGATAGTGGTGGGTGGAGCAGTGATGGTGGTAGGTGAAGTAGTGATGGTGGTGGATGGAGTAGTGATAATGGTGGGTGGAGTAGATATGGTGGTGGGTGGAGTAGCAATAGTAGTGAGTGGAGTAGCAAGGGTGGTGGGTGGAGAAATGGTGGTGGGTAGAGTAGTGAAGGTGGTGGGTAGAGTAATGAAGAGTGTAGCAAGTAAGTTAAGCAATTATACCTATCTCCTCTGCCTATCTTTTCCACCCTCCACTTCCACCAGCACCTTCCGTTAGTGCAAATCATCTGATCTCCAAGGTAAATACACTTTATAAAACTAGTTTATTTCCTTACATTCTCTTTTATTATGTTTTATACAATATTTATAAATACATTTTTCTTATTTAAAAACCTATACCAAAAAAATTGGGGTGGTTTTTGGAGGACTGGAACGGATTAATGGCATTTCAATTAACTTCAATGAGGAAAACTGATTTGATATAGGAGCAAGTTGAGTTACAAGCTCGGTCATGGAACAAATTAAACTTGTAAGTCAAGGTGCCACTGTACCTATTCTTAATTGCATATTTACAGCTATAGGAGCAAATCTATACTTATGGGGTTCAATCTTCAATAATTATTTCATCATATTTACTGTCAACTGCCCAGGGAGGTACAGTGGAACCCCGGTTTTCATCCGGTCCGAATGTCGTATAATTCGGATTTTGACCACTCTTTTCGGCAAATTTTTAACATGGGTTTCGTACATCCATTCAGAAATTGTATCAGATGCGTTCGCCTGCCAGGATGCTGCTGCTCACAGTCTGCCTCTGTCACTTGTTCAGTAAGCAATACTCCACGCGTTCATTCAAAACATTGGTGGTAGAGGGTGGTAGTGATGGTGGTAGTGATGGTGGTAGTGATGGTGGTAGAGGGTGGTAGTGATGGTGGTAGTGATGGCAAACAACTGAAGATGTTGAGAAGTTATTGTTGGTGTGGATCAAGTGGGAGAAGTGTTGTGAAGGTGATAATTTGTGAAAAAGCAAGGCAGCTGCATGTGGATCTTGTAAAGAATATGCCAACAACTGTTCAAACATAGATCTATGTTTACATGCATAGTGCTCCGAATGTAGATCTACGTTTTTTTACGTGCTTTCAAATGGAGAAAATAAAGGTTGGAGCGCTATGCACATAAATGTAAATCTACGTCTGGGCAGTTTAAGGGTTAATAAAGGTAAAAGTGATTTAAATTTTCATTTATCCATTAAAATTAGTGCTTTATATATATTTCTCACTGTTTTCTGTGTGTAAAACTATATTCTCTATAAAATGTATTTTTTGTTAATATTCTTGGGTGTCTGGAATGGATTAATGGGATTTACAGTGGTTCCTCAATAATCGTCCATAATCCGTTCCTGGAAGTGGGACTGTTATCGAAATGGACGATTTTCGAATCAATTTTCCCCATAGAAAATAATGTAAATCCAATTAATTTGTTCCAGACAACAATGTTTTTTTTACCTAAAAGATAGATTTACATGCACAAAAGAATGAACTTTCAACATGACAGTTACCTTTATTGAAGGCTGTTGTTGATGAATGGAAGACATGGAGGAGGAGAGAGGGAAGAGAGGTTATTTGGAAGGGGAATCCCCCTCCATAGGGGTAGTTGATGAGTGGAACGGTCTGCCTAGTAGGGTGATCGAAGCTAAAACATTGGGTAGTTTCAAATTTAGGTTGGATAAATACACGAGTGAGAGGGGTTGGATTTGAGTCGGACTTGCACCTGAGCTTATTGCTTGGGTAGCATTTGTTCTGTTAGTGGGTTGGATTTGTGAAGGACCAGCCTAGTATGGGCCAGCAGGCCTGTTCCAGTGTTCCTACTTTCTTAAGTTTTTATTTAACATCACACTTACCAGTAGGGTGATCGAGGCTAGGACCTTGGGTAGCTTTAAGAAGAGATTGGACAAATGTATGAGCTGAAGGAGCTGAGTTTGATTTGTGCCACTGGGTACGGGAATAAATTCTTGGGTAGCTTTGGGTAGAGGTCATTTTGATAAGGACCTGCCTTGTATGGGCCATTATTATTATTATTATAATCAAAAAGAAGCGCTAAGCCACAAGGGCTATACAGCTTGTATGGGCCAGTAGACCTGCAGTGTTCTTCCATTGTTATGTTCTTATTGGCTATTTGTTTGTGTGAGGGAGGGATGGCAAGTTTATTGTTGGAGAATATGACACTAATATCAACTCTATGGCTTATTTATCTATCACAATTCAACTAATATGACATAATAAACAATATAAATAACATAGAAACATGGAATATACTCTAGAATGAATAAAATAAGTCATTACGTATGTCACGAGAGGTGTTGTGTTGTGTTGTTGTTGGGTATATAAGGGCCACTGAGTGTAAGCCGTCCATAATGATGGTGAAGCAGCAGTTGAGGCGGTGGTGGTTTTTGTGGCCCTATATAACTCCAACAACATTGGAGGAGTTGGTACAACCGCTGAATCACTAAAGAAGGAACCCTCTACCACCATCACTACGACCTTCTACCACTATTACAACTGTTACCACCATCACTACTACCTTTGTAGATGAGTGGTTCAAAGAACCGACATGTTGTTAAATTAGACACATGTGCAACTCTTGGGTATCTTTATTGAGGAAACGTTTCGCCACAGAGTGGCTTCATCAGTCCATACATAGGAGAAACTTGAAGAACAGGAGGAGAATGAGGTAATCAGTCCCTCAACCTTGAGTCGATGTGGTCAGTCCATCAATCTTGAATAGAATACGGCATATAAGCGGAGAAGCAGCTTATAAACCGTATGGCAGGAGAGGTGCAGCAGTCATAGGTGGTGTCACATTTGTCCAATGTGGAAGTAGGTCGTGCCCAAGGGTTAGGCAAGCGAAGAATTCCTGAATATTAAGATACCAAGAAGTTGCAGTGTCTGACAGGTTTGTAGATGAGTGGTTCGCTACTCTGCGGCGAAACGTTTCCTCAATAAAGATACCCAAGAGTTGAACATGTGTCTAATTTAACATCAATACTACCTTCTACCACCATAGAAAGCTTCTAGTGCTAGCCCTTTGGTAAAGAATGTGAGAAACACATAATTTATGAAAAAGTTTGTAGAAAAATACAAAGATGGTGGTGGTAGAGTGCAAGCAGTTGTGATAGTGGTTGATGAACATAAAGGAGGATCACTGCAGCAGGCCTGTTGGCCCATGCTCGGCAGGTCCTTTACAATTCATCACACTAACGAAACATTTTCCCAACCCAGTCCTCAATGCTACCCAAGAAATAAGTTCTGATAACTCTATCCACTCATTTGCAAGTCCCAAATGAATGGATAGAATCTACAATGAAGGACGATCAGAGTAATGCAAGCAGAGTAAGCACGGCAGGATGTAGAAGCTGCTGAAAATAAAGTTAAGTGTTTCTGATAAATTGGGCATTCTATCAAATTTATCAAATGTTTGATCTTGAAAACTTCACGATGGGAAAGTAATTAACTGTGTCCAGAGTACAGTGGGGGTGGGGTGTGTGTTGTCATCCAGCAACCTCACACATACATCTTACTAAGCTGGTCATCAAATACACAAAATACTGTATGCTGAATCATCAGTACAGCCTGTCAATATTCAATATCACACAAGGCACTTGTCCATTATATGGACATGAAGCAGCTTGGCATGAAATGATGTTACAAGAAAACTATTTACACAACCATTAATGGTCGAAAGTCTAACTGTACTATGATTGTACTAGGTCAATCACATCACCAAAGGGCTTGCAAATCGTCAAAACAGGAAAAAATCAGAAACGTAGCTGTCTGCTGAAAATTGGAAAGTCCTGAGTTGCAGAATACACAGAGGAGCCACTATCATGATCTCAACAATGGCTAAGAACCCAGCAAAAATGACTTTTTTTGTTTTTGTTTAGTGAAAGTGTAAAAGTCAAGGGGATACAGTTAATCAGAAGTATGGATCACGTGCTGTTCAGTCAGAGATTACAAAAAAAGATATAGTGAGCACAAAAGCAATACGTATAGACAATAGCAAAAATGGCGTAAAATTCTGCCGTGAAAACACTAGTCAAGCTTAGCAGTGGCCTCTGAAAAACAGAATCCAGGTATATATTATTATTATTATAATCAAAAAGAAGCGCTAAGCCACAAGGGCTATACAGCAATCCAGGTATATAGAATGGTATCTCACCCCTTGCAGCCATCAATTTACGCAGAAGTGGTCAGATGTGAGAATCACTGAAAACACTAATTTTAAAAACTACTGAAATGTGGTCCTAGATTTGCTAGTTTAAATGAGGTCTACACTGATAATTTTATTAAATTTTCTGTCATTTAATAAGAATAAAAAATTGGTACAGATCATCAACAGTGGTTGGTGACCTGACAAGTCTGGCCATACATCACAGTGAAGGCAAATATTCATCTCTAAATCTTGCTGAAAATATAAATTAATTTAAAAATGTAAACTGAAAAGTTTTCTTACCAGGAATTTATAAAAAATCAAAACTGATACAAGTCAGAATTTAAATTTTAAAATTTCAACTTTAGAAAACTGAGAGTTGTATTATTGTTATTAGATTCACAATAAAGCACTAAACCTGAATGGGTTGCATTGTTTTACTAGAACTATTTCTTAAAATTAATCTAGCCTTAAATTCACTAACCCTAACAACTTACAGAAGCAGCAACATGCTTTACTTAATATGCAACACAATATATTATCTGATTTAAAACTTTCACACTTTATACAACTTCTGTTTCCTTGCATACCTGCAAACGTTTTTTTGGTTTTCTGTGAGTTTGTTAAAATAAATCTCAAATATTAGTGCAAGACTTTAATGTGATACACACATCATAATTAGGGAGGTTGAGAGTAGCAGTCTCCAGATGAGAGTTGGCACACTGCAGCTGATTATCATACATTAAGAGGTTGGTGATCTTCATTATTGGTCCATTCATGCGATACTGTTGAGTCAGATTTGACGTTGCTCCTTGAGAGTCTAAGCGCTTAAATAGAGACTCAGACATTCCCAAATTCCTGAGAGTATAAAAAATAGTTAAATTACTGAGTATATTAAATAAATTGTCACAGTTTCAAAAAATATTACTCTCCATCTATAATTGTTATGCCTCTTCCCTTATGAGGCACTGACAAAAAAAGCCATTTGATTTAGGTACATCTTTCTTTTCCTGTTATATTCCCATTATGTACTCAAAGATCTTCTCAAATGCTTCTTTTTCCATTTAAAGAAGGTGGTTATCTTTTCATTACTGTGTAACCACCACTTGTGATGTTAGTCATTCACTGCCATCTCATCTCCGAATCACAGATAAATACTGTAGTGTTTATAACCCTCTGTGACCCATTATCACAACTTTTTATCCATCTACATCCTTATATTATTTTATTCATAGGAACGTGCTAAACCCATTAGGGTCATATGGCACCTGGAGAATGAGAAGGGTGATGGAGAGGGGAGAAGAGTAATCAGGCTAAAGAAAGGGAGAATAGCTGAATTTCTTAGATCAAAAGCCCTATAGCTTATTTCTTTAAATAATCTCAGCTCTCTATCTGCCTATCACATTTATGCCTCACTTTCAAAATTCAAAGATAAAAGTAATCTTAATTTGCCTTCCTTTCTTCCTATACTTTAATCTGTCTTTATTATAATCCTCCCATGGATAATGTTTTGTCTCCATAGATGCCTCACTGCACCACCCATCTTTTTTTCCCTCATGAATTCAATGGTTCATCTCATCTTACACAGACTCATCTGCTGACAAGTCCACTACCAAATATCTGAACACATTCATTTCCTCCATACTCCCTCCTTCCAATCTGATATCCCATTTTCCATTACCTAAATTGGTTATTATCCTCATCACCTTGCTCTTTTCTATTAGCTTTTAATTTTCATGCATATATTACTTTTTTTTTTTTTAACACGTCGGCCATTTCCCTCAGAGGCAGGGTGACATATTACATACCCTCCCAAATTCATCCACCAACCTTTGCAACTTCTCTTCAGAATGTTCCAAAAGCACTGTGTCATTGGCAAAAAGCAACTATGTATTAGATTCTGCATATTTCAATCCCACACCCATCCCCAACACTCCAGCATTCACTTCTTTTACAACCCTATCTATAAATACGTTAAACAACCATGGTGACATCACACATCCCTCTCTAAGGCATACCCTTACTGGAAAACAATCTCCCTCTCTCCTTACATACCCTAAGCTGAGCCTCACTATTCTCATAAAAGCTCTAAACTGCTTTTAGTATTATACCACCTATTCCCTACATTTACAACATGTGCCACATTGCTCTCCTATCCACCCTATTATATGCCTTTCTAAAACAATGAATGGAACAAAAACTTCCTTTCTGTGTTCTAAATACTGCTTACTTATATGCTTCAATGTCTACACATCCCCTACCCTTCCTAAAGCCTCCTTGTTCATCAGCAATACTGTTCTCCATGTTACCCTTTAATTCCTTCAGTAATAACTACCATACACTTTACTTGATATATTCATCAGGCTTATTCCTCAATAATTAGTGTACTCTTTCATTTCACTTTCACTTATACAAAGGAACTATGCATACTCTGCAAATCCCTAGATACCTTCCTTCCTTTCATACATTTATTGAACAAGAATACCAACCACTCCAAAACTATATCCCCACCTGCTTTTAACATTTGTCTTGATGCCATTAATCCCAGCTGCTTTATCCTCTTTCATTTTATCCACTGCCTCATGCACCTCCACCACTCTCACAACCGACTCTTCCTCACTCCTAAAAATTTTTTTACCTCCTTGGCCAATGCATGAAATCACTGCCTCCCTTTCCTCATCAACATTTAATAGCTCCTCAAAATATTCCATCACACAAACAAAACCTAAAAAACAGAAGGTAATTAAGACTGATCCAAGAAAGGGTCAAGTAGCTTGAACTTCTTGGATCAAGAGCCCTTCATCAGCTTGAAGGTGTGAATATGCAACTTACTTGGCTTGATTACTCTGGACTACAGGTGGCAGCTGCTGGGGGTCTCCGACTAATACAAAGCGAGAAGCGTGAAACAATGGTCCAAGTGCTGCAACTTGCAGAACCTTAAATAAAAAGTTTAAATAAAACCAATAATTGTTTAAAAGGAGATAAAAGATCAGGCAGGCTATCAGTGCTAACATTAAGCAGACCAACATAAGTACAACCTCTCCTCACTGATGTACTTGTTTACTGACAACGCGGAGTCACGATGGGCTCTCCAACAAGTCAGTACTGTATGCCGTACGAGAACTCGGGTTATGGAAATGGACAGCACAGCATCTAAGCGTCAAGCATCTCAATCTCCTTCCTACAGCCACTCAGCACACTAGCTTTTAAAGTCTCCAAGACTACATATTTGTACAAATTTGTACTTTATTGTGCACCCTATGGTACAATATAGAAGTGCAGAAGCACTTGGAAGGGGAAAATGGAAGTACAAAAGAAGTTCACTGTAAAGGGGTTAATGATGGGTCTCAGCATCAAGCAATCTCCAAGACTACATATTTTGTCTATAAATTTGTACTTTATTGTGCATCCCATAGTACAAGATAGAAGTGCAGCAGCACTTGGAAGAGGAAAGGGAGAAAAATGGAAGAAGTACAAAAGAAGTGCACAGTAAAGGGGTTAGCTGGTGTGTTCGTCTGTGTATTTACATTCTTGGTCTCTCTCAAGGCAGCTTAATTAAGACATTATTAAGCTCAGTAAACAAGGTATGTCGATGATGATATTGACAGTTTGGAGGGACTTCTAAACTGTTGTATCTGAGTGCCTCCGCAAAGACAGTGATTATGTATGAGTAAGGTGAAAGTGTTGAATGATGATGAAAGTATTTTCTTTTCAGGGATTTTCTTTCTTTTTGGGTCACCCTGCCTCGGTGGGAGACGGCCGACTTGTTGAAAAAAAAAATTAATAATAACTGTTCTGGAGTGCTTTAAATACATATGACATTACAAGCTCTCCAGAGCGATTATTATATTTAATTATTATTATTATTATCACCATTGACATACCTTGTTCACAGTTTCATTATTTCTTAATTAAGCTGCCACAAGACACACTTGAGAATGTAAACGCACAGACGAACACACCAGCTAACCCTTTTACTGTGAACTTCTTTTGTACTTCTTCCATTCTTTGTTGCGGTTCTTCCTCTTTGTACAATACTCACCTCTTGCCCTACATTAAGACTACAAATATTTTAAGGTAAATACTGTATGTGTATTTTACTTTTTTATTGTTTTTTGTAATATGCAAGAGTTATGAAAATTAAAACAAAGTTATCAAGTTGGAGTTTCCTTTTTATTTTTACCTTCAAATATACGTATTTAATTCACCATTTGGCATCGTTACAAAGTGGGAGGAGCTATAGCAGAGGGAGAAGCCAGCAGTGTCTCAGCAGCTGATGCTACTCCATGCTGCAAAGAGATGTACCTTACCCCACTATAAAATATTGTATAATTATACTATTACTATTTATTCTAAAATAATATTAGGTAAAACGTAAATAACGCAGAAGCACGATAAAGACGTCCAAATTAATAAAAACTGACATTGTATGGAGAGGTATTGGAGGGTGAGCAGAGCTATACGAGAGGAGAAGGCACAGACTCACAGCGCTATAAAATACAGTGGACCCCCGGTTTACGATATTATTTCATTCCAGAAGTATGTTCAGGTGCCAGTACTGACGAATTTGTTCCCATAAAGAATATTGTGAATTAGATTAGTCCATTTCAGACCCCCAAACATACACGTACAAACGCACTTACATAAATACACTTACATAATTGGTCGCATTGGGAGCTGATCGTAAACCGGGGGTCCACTGTACTGTATAATTATACTATTACTATCAATAAAGGTTATCTACCTATCATATTTATTACAGAATAATAATAGATATACTATAAATAACGTAGAAGCATGATACAGATGCCCAAATGAATAAAAACTGACATTATATGGATAGGTATTGAAGGGTGGGCAGCAGAGGGCAGGGAAGGATATATATATATAAAAAAAAAAAAAAAAAAAAGGTGACCATGACAACTACAAAAAATGTTTGTGGCTGAAGGGTAGCTATAGAAAAATCACTTATCCTATGCAAAGACTGAAAAAAAGTGCGATTTTCTCAATTTTTTTTTTTCTCAAAGTACGTAATAAACTATGCGCACGTTTCCTGGAATATCTCGGAAGTAAGTTATTGACCTATTTCGTGTTGTATTACCGTTAATAATAAACGGATTGAAAGGATTTTCACAGCAAACATAAAACAGAATGTTTTAATTTTGGGTAGTGGCTTTTTGAAGTACTATCAGTAAGGGGCGATTCCTCGATTAGAGACAAATTCATTTACCGACATGGTCTTCGGAACAGAACTCCATCGGTAAGTGAGGAGAGGCTGTATTATAGCTTGGCTGATCAGGAAATACCTTGAGGAACTTGCCAGGTTCCCTTTTAAGACCATTATAAGGCTTATATTATTTATTTATATTTTATTGACACATTGGCCGTTTCCCACCAAGGCAGGGTGGCCCAAGAAAGAAAAACTTTCATCACTCACTCACTCCATCACTGTCTTGTCCAAGGCAAGATTACACTACAGTTATAAAACTGCAACATTAACAACATTTTTTACAATAATAAAAAAAGGCTTCCATCTAAATAGTCCAATAACTGTATATCTTGCTTTACATATGCATGGTTTTGAAGATGTGTGGGAGACAGAATAAGTTAATCATGTCACACAACGATGACCTGACTATTAAAAACAGTGGCAGTCTGAATATAAAATTTTTGTCTAAAGGTAAGGAGGACATAACAGCTATTATAAACAGATTCCTTGTAGTAGATTCATTGGGTGAAAGGAGCCAGAAGTTAGATGTGAAGACTGCATTTGTACCCTAAAATATAACTCTAGCAAGTGTTCAACTGCCAAGACACTTTTTTTTTGACAGGTCAGTTTCAAACACCATGACTTACACCACCTATGATGAGTTGTTCCAGGATAATTCCCAGGACTAACCATCAACCCTTTCACTGTCAGTCCCGTAATATTATTTTTTTTATTTTTTATTTTATTAACAATTTGAGCACACATACAGAGGTACAAAAAATACAGATTAGAGCAGCATGCCAAAGCCACTTATACTATGCATAGCATTACGGGCTGGCTTAAAATTAACTTAGGATTAACTAAGCAATGATGAAATCAGTGATAAAACATTAATGTAAACAGATTACTATAAAGCACAAGTGAGTATTACAAAGACAGGTCATATGGTTGCATGCACTGTTGTACATTCAGTCGTATGAAGTATTCTGTTAGGTAGTGTATTTAAAAAAAATAGTAAAGTTAGATTCGGTTTTAGGTTTAACATTTATGTGATATAATTGTGAGAAACATTTAAGATATACAATTTATAAGGTTCAGTTATTCGGTATTTATTTGGTTTTGGGTGAGTAAGTGATCTTTGAGAAGAGACTTGAATTTATAAACAGGTAGTGTTTCTTTTATATTTACAGGTAATGAATTCCAGATTTTAGGGCCTTTTATGTGCATTGAGTTTTTGCGTAGTGTGAGATGGACACGAGGAACATCAAAGAGTGATCTGTGCCTTGTGTTATGGTCATGTGTTCTGTTGAGGTTGGCAAGGAGATGTTTGAGGGGAGGGTTAATATCAGAGTTAAGTGTTCTATGTATGTAATAGGTGCAGTAATAAGTATGGATGTTTTGTATGGTGAGTAGGTTTAGTGTATTGAATATTGGTGGAGTGTGCTGCCTGTAGTGAGAATTTGTTATCATTCTAACTGCAGCCTTTTGTTGGGTAATTAGTGGTCTGAGATGGTTAATTGTTGTTGAGCCCCATGCACAAATTCCATAGGTGAGATAGGGGTAAATAAGAGAGTGATATAGGGCCAGGAGGGCTGACTGTGGAACATAGTACCGTATCTTCGATAGTATGCCTACAGTCTTGGAAATTTTCTTAGAAATTTGTTGTATATGTGTATGAAATTTGAGTCTATTATCAAGGTGGATTCCTAAGAATTTTCCCTCTGTTAGCTTTGTGATAGGTGATCCGTTTATCATTATGTTAAGAGGGACATCTGTAGCTCTGTTACCAAACTGAATGAAGTAGGTTTTGTCAATGTTTAGTGTAAGTTTGTTAGTCCTCATCCAGGTAGATATTTTCTGTAATTCGGTATTTACAGTATTGGCTAGCGTGACTGGGCTCGGGTGAGAGAAGACGTATGTAGTGTCATCTGCAAATAGTGTGGGTTTGAGTAATTGCGAAGCATTTGGAAGGTCATTTATGTATAGGAGAAAGAGAAGAGGGCCAAGGACACTTCCCTGTGGGACACCAACTGTAATTGGTTGCGCAGAAGAGTTTGCCCCATTTGCATACACATATTGGCTTCTGTTGCTGAGGTATGACTTGAGGTAGTTGAGGGAGTGCCCTCTTATACCATAGTGTGACAATTTTACGTGGAGCAAGTCATGGTCAACTGTATCAAAAGCTTTACGTAAGTCAATGAAGATCCCCAGTGGGACTTCTTTTTTCTCTATTGCAGTGTATATATGTTCTAGCATGAGTATAATAGCATCATTAGTATTTTTATTAGGCCTGAATCCAAATTGGCAGGGGTTGAGTATGTTTTGGGAGATAAGGTAGGAGTAGATTCGTTTATGAATTAATTTTTCGAAGATTATTGAGAGAGGGTGTAAGTTGGATATTGGCCTATAGTTATTCAACTCTGTTTGGTCTCCTCCTTTGTGGATCGGGGTGACCCTTGCTATTTTGAGTACTGTAGGGAAGGTGGAGGATTCAATGGATTTGTTGAAGAGTGTTGCAATGATTGGTGATAGCACTTGTGACACTTTTTTGTATATAAAGGGTGGTAAGGTATTTAAATCTCCTGCCTTGTTTTTTAGTGCGTTGATAATAAGGGAGACTTCGTATGGGTTAGTCGGAGCTAGGAACAGTGTGTTCGGGTAGTTGCCGGTGAGGTAGTCATTTGGTGGGGTATCTGAGCTTGGGATTTTATTGGCAAGGTTTTGTCC